AGATGATGATATTCACGAGTGGTGGTTCAGATGGAAATTGGACCGCTACTCAATGATTTACGGTATGTGTTTTTCTTTGTTGTTGGTTGCAGGGCAAAAATATAATATTTTTGACGATAATAATCATTACAATTTGTTTTCAAAGAGGGTGGCTTTGACTGGTACTTTAGCAGCTCTTATTGGTATTGGTACTTATATTTCATTGAGCTTTTTGTGTAGGATTGAACTAGAATGCAGCGAAATTCACTCTTATATAGTTTTTATACCTATTGTTAGTTATTTATTTTTGAGGAACGTTTCTGGCATGTTGCGTACTCGGTTTTCTACGTTTTTTGCCTGGTTTGGCGAGTTCCACTTGGAACTGTTTCTGAGTCAGTACCATATTTGGTTGGCGGCTGATACTCACGGGGTTTTGGTACTAATACCAGGATTTCCCGTGCTGAATTTAATCGTGACGACTTTTATATTTGTTTGCGCCTCGCACGAGATCCATCAAATCACGGAATATCTGATTCCGTACGCAATTCCCAACGATTGGAAGCACGTTTTGAGGAATTTTATTTTGTTTTTGGCTCTAATGGTGCCTATTGGTATCAACGATGGGATGTTTTAGATTTTGATATGGTAAAATGTTTCTTGATGATTATTCATCCTGGTTAAATGGCATAATGTAGAAAAATTTGTAACCACAACGTTTTAGTAGTGGTGAGAGGTTTTTTATTTTAAATCTTATAGATAGGTACTGGTTGTTTGTTTATAACTGGAACACTCAGTAGGTAACTTTCTCATTATTGAAAATAAAGGGCATGTTTAAGAACGATATTTTTTTGTCTTCATAGGTATAGAGGGTGTGCCAAATGGAACGCCCTGTATATTTTTGTTATTTAAATAGTGTTTGATATTTTTGTAAAGCTAATTTTCTGTTATAAACAAACTTCCTGTATGTATGTATGTAAGGATTTATTTCTATTGTGTGTGTTTATATAATAAAAATTCTGTGATATTATGTAAAATTAATAATAAATGAGATTTTCAATGGAATTAGATTTTAATAATAAACACATTTTACAGCTTCTTGATGAACTTTTTAAAAAAAATATGGATTTTGATTCACTATTATAATTATCATTGTTTTTTCTGCTGATTACTTTAAATAAAGCTATTCGGTCAGAACTTATCCGATTTTTCTTATTGTAAAACGAGCATCCAGCTATACCTATAGTCATATTCGACAAAAAATCCATTGTAGAGATAATACTACATTTACGACTTTGAAGTCCAATTTGTCTTGAAATTGACATGCTTGCCATATGGCGGCAGCACAGATCCCAGATCCATTAACATTGGAATAAATTTGAAGTTCACTTCGAAGTGCACTTTGAATTTGGGCGAGCTGCTTGCCGCCTAGGGATATAACGTGACTTATGTTCAGTTGTATACCAATTTAACAAGGTTAATTGATTTTCTATTAGAAAAATTAAAGAATGAAGAAATTGTACTCAACATTAAAATACTGTTGAAACCTCTAAATCGAATAAAAGGAAAACAGAGATCTTTGGTAGAACGGAACACAACACTAGAAAAACCCAGAAAGGTAGTACCATTGTGTAAAAAGTCTTTTTATACAATGCGTTAGTATCTACTACCGTATTTTTTTCTGGACAAAAAGTAGCCTATAATATTCCCATTTATTCATGTTGACTTTGTGTCCTGATAAAAGACTTCCTGGATTCACCGTAAGTTATAGGACTTGGTACAGAGAAAAACTCCATGGGTCTCATAGGTCATATCAATATGTATATATAACTTGACAAATAAACTAAGTAGCTATACTAACAAACAGAGAACATATGGTAAAATAACAAAGCAATAACTTACTCGTAAAACAATTAGTCTTTATACGTCATAGGACAACAAGAAACACACCAGGACCCACAAATATATTTCTTCGATAGAAAAAAAGTTATGACCTTTCAAAGTTTTCCAAAATCTAAATCACAACACCACAAAAACAATGAAATTTCAATTTTTTTTTTGGTTTGAAAAGGAATGAAATTCAGTGGAAGTTTCAGCTTTCTAACTATAATAGAAAAAAAGTTATAACGTTTCAAAGTTTTCCAAAATCTAAATCATAAGGTAGGTAGGTACCTTCTTACTAAAACGATGAAATTTCAATTTTTTTTTTGTTGAGATTTTGTATTCTACTGGTTAATTAGCATGCCCCAAACTTCATACACTAAATAATTCTCAGATTTGAAGCCGAAATCTATGAAAAAAGGCACTCAGAAAAATTGATAAATCACCCCAAATTGCTTAACACGATTTTATCTCAGGAACTATAGGCGCAAATGAGCTGAAATGTTCAGGGATTGTAGTCCTTTGAAAGGGATGAAATTCAGTGAAAGTTTCAGCTTTCTAACTATAATAGAAAAAAAGTTATAACCTTTCAAATTTTTCCAAAAAAATCATAAGGGGGGTACCTTCTTACTGTAGCAAAACGCCCCAAGTACTCTATATAAATTGTTAGATGGTAAATGGCGAGCGGTATATTGATGGTGTTTATATACTTGGAGCTTGCTATCTAAAATCTGTGGAAGAGGGTCTATTTGCAAGAGAGAGAAACAAACTAATGAGGTATACTAAATTATATTTTATTTTACATAAAACCCAAAAAATCATCAGCCAAATATCTTCCAATACTTTATTTCTGTAAAATCAATACTTCACATCCGTTCTATATTGTTATTTTACGGGCCACTGAAATATCCCTACTAAATAAGAAACGCCCTATTCATACTATTTCTCATAAATTATAATTCAACTCATTTCACTACATCCGAATCATTCCTAATAACTATCCTCCACCTAATCAAATAATTCTTTAAAATCTCTAAGTCCTTTACTTATGAAAACCCAAGATAATTACCTATTTGTTTATCAACTAATTTATTCTCATAAAATCTTACATTGACTTCTACTTGAAAAGTTTCCTTTTAACAACTTTCCAATATTTTAAGAAAACAATTCTATTTTATGTCATCAAATTTCTTTTCAAAATTTCCTATTGCAGTTAATAGTTTTTCAGAACAAATTTTATTTTCGGATTCCTATGCCTAGCTAATAAATTCAACTGTTTAATTCATAATTCCAACTCAAAATTTTATATTGTTAAATGCATTATAAGTACTCTTCATATTTTCTTTGCACCTTTAAATGTCATTATATCTGAAGGTAATTAAGTTATGCGATAATGTTTCCTTTATAAAACACTCAAGTTATTAAGTTTATTGTAATAAAGTTCCACCGTGATTAAAGTCAAAAGTTTTTCTAGTAAAATTCACACAAAGTCATGTTCATCAAAAATAAATCTTGTCACTATAGAGTACTTACATTTTGTCCATAAAACACACGTAAAATTACTTAATTAATTACTCAAAATATTTAGCTAGCACGCACATAAATTATTGAACGAATTTCAAATGTTATTAGGTACTTTCACGATTTTCCGTAAATTTTCTAAGTTAAATTATACCCGAGGCCATACGCCATAAAACTAACTTTTCGCGAAACTGGGCAGACTTTATCTCAAACGGGACTGGACAACTCTTAACTGGCAACTGTCTTACTCCTTCTTAAAAACGCGCTATTTATATAAAATCTACGCTCCCAATTCTCTTTGTCCATGACAATTAAGATGATGCAATTTCCTTGGAATTTTATATTATTTTTAGCCTGAAATCAATTAATTATGTCGCAATAATCTGATTTATTGAGGTCAAAACGTTTGGGTTCAAGAATGCCATAATTCATTCGACTCAATTTTTGGTACGCGGAAAGGCCTTGGCTAACAAAGTTCATTGATCGGTTATTAGTGATGTCATCACCTTGTAATCGTTTTTATTATTTTTAAGAATTTAATTTAGAAGACGACCAAGCTGTTTTGTTTCATCTTTAATTTATCGATACAGATTTAAAATACCGGAATTAAGTTTTTGATTGTCTGATTAATTATTTTATTTCCTACTGAACTAATATAACCATATAATACCTTAGATACGATAATCATAAACAGGGTCTTAACTCCCAAGGGAGTTAAGGATATCATAACTCCCAAGGGAGTTAAGGATTTCCATAACTCCCGCTTTCACATTGACTAGGTGAAACTTTGACAAAAAATGGACATTATGGTTTATGGTTTATTTCTTTATAAAAATTACAAAATACAGTAAATTCAGTAGGAAATAAAATTATCTATGTACCACGGGAATTATCAGGTGTTAATACCCACGGGCAATTGGTGTCCCTCGGGCCGAAGGCCCTCGGGACACAAACTGGGGTATTAACACCCTCATAATTCCCTTGATACATAAATAACTATAATTTTTTTGTTTTTTACAGTAAATGACATTGTGATTTATGAGTCTATTTTCTCGGAATATTACATTACTAAAACGATGAAATTTCAAATTTTTTTTGTCGAGATTTTGTATCCTAATGGTCAATCAGCATACACTAAATTATTCTCAGATTTGAAGCGGAAATCTATGAAAAAAGGCACTCAGAAAAATTGATAAATCACCCCAAATTGCTTAACACGATTTTATCTCAGGAACTATAAGTGCACATGAACTGAAATTTTCAAGGATTGTAGTCCCTTTATTGAGATAAGATTCAGTGAAAATTTCAGCTTTCTATCTATAATAGTAGTGTCGAGATTTTGTGTCCTTATGGACAAACTCCATACACTAAATTATTTTCAGATTTGAAGCCGAAATCTATGAAAAAAGACACTCAGAAAAATTGAAAACTACCCAGAAAGCCTCGATAATCGCATTTCAAATTATCATCATTTATTCTCTTTTAATCCAGAGGAGACTTAGAAAAAGTTCATTTTATTTGAACTAAAAGTGAAAAGTGAACCACGCAAGCAAACGGAACACAATACAACCTTCTACTTTTTACTCATCGGTACTAAAGGTGACTCAAGTACCATCTCAGTACTCGGTATTGAGGTTATGAAGTTGTTTTTATTTATTATTTTCATTCAAAAATCGAGCTTATTCTTAAAAGTGCAAAGTACATTTTGTTCATAAACAAATTTTATTTATAAAAATAAAGGTTCAAAAGTACAACAGGGGCTCTGGTATTATTGTAATCTGCAATTTTAAACTATTGAGTTATGGTATTGTTTTCAAGAATTATCGCTAGACCTGCCTTGATCAAGCAGGTTTTACCTAGCAGCATCTGTAAGTTATAAAAAAATAATTACTCCAGCAATTTAACGCTGTTCCTAGCCCATTCAAAAGATGGACTGTCCCATCAGTCACTCAGCTAATTGCTTATTTTTTATTTGGTACATTTAAAACACACTTTAACAAGTAATTTCATGCTAATAACACAGGGTGATTTACGTGGCCCGTGCATTAGATTGCAGATGGATTAAATGCTATCTCTACTAATCCACCTGCAATCTGGAAAACTTCTAGTGCACGGGCTACGTAAATCACGGTGTATACTTGTAAATTTAAAAAAGCTCATTATTCATCAGCAACCAGCATCCAACTGGCAAATGGACATTGCCAAACAACTCATAAGTTTTGTAACTATTTTATTGCGTCTTTGTTAAAACCTGTTTTTTTTTTTAATGTAACATTTCGTGATAGAACTGCGCGATATTCACAGACTTCATATAAACTCCACAGATCCCAATATGGCAAGAATGTCCTCCCAAACTCCCACATTCGAATTTCTATCAGTCACAGTTCCAAAAGACTACATCTTCCACGTGGAATTGAACAGGCCAACCAAATTAAACGCCATTACGCATAAATTCTTCAGGTAAGTAAAAACCTTATTCTATGTTGCCCACTAATTCTTTTATAAAGTGAAATCAAAGAGTGCTTCGACCATTTGAGCTTAAACGAAGATTGCAGAATTGTGGTCCTCAGCGGAGCAGGCAAACTATTCACTGCAGGTTGAAAACACAAAATTCTATCACCTCTTATTCACAAGTCTTATTTTAGGAATCGACTTTAAAGACTTTGCAAAAAACGGCTCCAAAATTGGTGCAGAAGAAGACATTGCCCGCAAAGCAAAACTACTCCTAAACAATTTCCTTCGGCCCTACCAGCAAAGCATGTCGTCTTTGGAAAGGTGCAACAAACCTGTAATTGCTGCCATACATAATGCTTGTATTGGAGCTGGAGTTGATTTAGTTACAGCTGCAGATATGAGGTATTGCACCAAAGATGCCTATTTTCAAGTCAAAGAAGTTGATCTTGGATTGGCTGCTGATATAGGAAGTTTGCAACGCCTACCCAAAGTTATTGGTGGTGATAGCCTTGTTAGAGAGCTTTGCTATACTTGCAGACAATTGCCTGCACATGAAGCATTGAACTGTGGCTTGGTATCTAAGGTTTATGACAATAAAGAAGAGTAATTAATATTAAATTGCTAAAATAGTTTTTATTGCAAATACTCTTGTAGAATGCTGCAAGGTGTCCTAGCTCTGGCAGAAGAAATATCCAAAAAAAGTCCTGTAGCGGTGCAAACAACCAAAACCAATCTGATTTATTCCAGAGACCATACGGTGCAAGAAGGCTTGGATCAAATCGTAAGCCTCTATTGGGTTTCCTCAATCTGCAATAAAATTAAACATATTTTATTTTACAGGCTTTATTAAACCAGGCGATGTTGCAAAGCGAAGATTTGCTCAACGCTACAATGGCACAAATCACCAAGGATTCTGATGTTGTATTTTCTAAATTGTAATAAATATTGTTTTTAATTTGCTAATTCTTCGGCCATTTTCAAATACTCTGACAATCTTCGAGTGGATGCCGCCGGAGGCGGCGGTTTTTCTCTTTCGACCCGGTCGGCCAAATTGTAGACGTTTTTTTCGCCTTCAGGTTCGTACTGGAAAGGAAAAGGATTCAAGGATAAGGACAGGGAATAATTGATTTAGAATTCCTTGGGATGGAGCCTTACTTATTACAAGTCAATAAAACAAAAAAAGCCACCTTAATAGTCTTGGATATTAGAAAAAAGTTGATAATTATTTAAGATTTCAAGGTTATTGTTTGTTTAGAAGTTCAATAGGTTTATTATGTAAATGTTTTACAGCATATTGATCTGAAATTGGTGCCGAATTGTTTCAGTAGGTTATTGTAGATTTGTCACAGATCCTAGAAAACTTAATATTTGTATCGATAAAGCTTCTATAAAGTCTCCTATAGAAACTGTAATGTGCTCAAAGCAAAGGGCTCTGAGTAACTTGAATTTGAAATAAACTATTAGAGAAATTGTGAAAAATTGCAATTTGAGGAGATGTTTAAATCCCTAATGGGTGCCAAGATCTCTGTATGGGCACTTCACAGGTTTTACAAACTCAATTTCTGTATTGATTAAGCTTCCATAAAGTTTTATAAAGAAACTGTAGTGTGCTCAAAGCAAGAGGACTCGGGAGTAACTTCAATTTGAAACAAACTGTGGTAGGTACTTTTGATATCTTGTGTATACACCGTGATTTACGTAGTAGCCCGTCCATTAGAAGTTATCCAGGTTGCAGGTGGATTAGTAGAAATGGCATTCAATCCACCTGCAAGTTAATGCACAGGCTACATATATATCACCCTATATAGTTTTTGTTACCAGTATTAATTATTAATTATTATTGTTATGTTATCATCATATTGTATTCGTCATTATTGTCATTAGTTTTTTACCATTATTAATGTCGTTTATAATTCTTGTTTATGAAAGCTTAATTTCTGAAAGTCATTCAGTAAATCATTAAAATTTAATAAACAAGATGAGTAAACTTTTAAGACCTGAACGATTCGATGCTGATCAAAACTCTCCAAAAGCTGCACAAGATTGGACCCACTGCCCAGATAGCACAGATCGTCCCCAGGATGTCCGTTTTAGATCCCATGAAAGTCTTAACGTCCCTAACTAAAAACCGAGATCCCTAGAACGTCCATAAATGGCTAATCTAGAAATGTGTCAGAGCCCATCTAGGTCTGAGCGTTTCAAAACTTTCGCAGGACATCCGCAAAGGACTAGTCTAGGAATATACCTTTGTGAAATCCTGAAGACTTTCGTTTTAAATTCCATGTCCATCCATACGTCCTTGGGAATTCTTATTTGAATATCCCTAGGAGTTCTTCTTGGACGTCCCTGGAAATTCCCCTTTAAATGTCACGTGTTTTTTTTAGACAAGAGCCGGTAGCAGCTGCTACCGGCAGTTCAAATTTTGATTATTACCGGCTGTTGAGTTGCTCAGTAATTTTTCTAGATAAATAATGAAGAGCTTGTAATAGTTCAAATTTTATGTATTATTGGCTCTTGAGTAGCTCAATAATTTTTCTAGACAATCAAAAGCCAGTTATAGTTCAGGCTCTTGATTAACTGGAAATTTTCTAGAGCTCACAATTTCACTTTGAAACCCAAATATTGATTATTACCGGCTCTCGGGTCCCTCGGTAACTTTTCTAGACAATCAAGATCCGATAATAGTTCAATTTTTGACTATTACCAGCTTTAGAGTTGCTAGGTAAAATTTCTCTGGACAGTCAATAAGAGCCGATAATATTTCAAATTTTGATTTTTACCGGCTCTTGAGTTGCTGGGTAGTTTTTCTAGATAATCAAGAGCCGGTGAAAGTTCAAATTTTGTTTATTATCGGCTTTTGAGTCCCTCGGTAATTTTTCCAGAAAATCAAGAGCCGCTAATAGTTCGAATTTGGATTATAATCGGCTGTAGTCCAGACAGTACAGGAGATCTCATATAAGTCTTAACGTTTCAAACCGAGATTCTGAGCGTTTCGGAACTTTCGCAGGATGTCCGCAAACGACTAGTCTAGGTATTTACAATTATGACACCCTGAGGGCTTTCGCTTTAAATCCCATGTCAATCCAAACGTTCCTGGAAATTCATATTTGAATATTCCTAGGAGTTCTTCTTTTTTTCTTGTGAATTCTCTTTTAAATGTCACATGTACCTATGTTCTTTCTGGACTTCCTTGAATGTTGTATTCTTAACATCCCTAGGAGTTCTCTTTGAACGTTCGTAGGAGTTTTGTTTCACACATCCTCATAGGATTACTTCCTGTAATGTCCATGGTAGGTACTTCTTTCCAGGAAGTACTCAGTATGAGAGGTTTTGTAACAAAATATATCCAAGGTATGTGTCAGGGAAGATCAAGAACTTTTAAAAGACATACGCGGGATTTACTAAATGTCCGACCCAGATATCCCCAATACATTGCTAGAATGGCACTTGTGCTATCTGGGTGGAAAGCAACTCTCAACAATTTCATATCATCCGTTAATAAGCTAGAAAATGATGGAAAACTGAAACTCTTGGTAAACTATGTAAACCACAACAATTATGAGGACATATCCTGCTGTTCTTCTTACTCAGAAGCTATTAAGATTTTGGATTCAATTTTCATTAAACCTAAAAATGAAATATTTGCCAGACGTTGGCGTTGCTTTACCTCTAGGAAGCAGCAACCTGGAGATAGTGTTGATTAGTACTTACAAGCACCAAAACATCTAAGTAAAAACTGTAACTTCAAAGCTGTCAGTGCTGAAGACCAAATTCGACAACGACTGTTGGAGAATACTACTTTAAAACTTGATGAAGCCAAGAATCAAGCTCTATCTCTAGAATCGGCACAAAAACATATTCAGAAGCATATAGCATCTCTCAAGGTGTGATTAACTCAAATCTGAAAGTAGAGAATGATACGTGAAGAAGACCTCATTTCTGCTGCTACGAAAGTGTTCAAATGCTATTTTTGTGGAAGTACTAAAAGACATTTTCGTTCATTATGCCCTGCTAAAGATTCAACGTGTACTGAATTCAGTAAACGTGGACATTTCTCCAAGGTAGGTATGTCTAAGCAAAAGAAAAGTCAAAGTTTCTGCCTCAATTATACCTGTTACTGGGCTTTTTTGTACGGCACCTGGAAGTTTAACCAAATGCCTTATCAAAATTTAATTAAACAATGTCTTTAGATGCTCCTCTGCCCAATATTGAAGATATTGTTTATGCTGTGGCGAAATTCCAGATTTTCAGTAGGTAGGTACCTTAGATTTAGAAAGTGCATATCACCAAGTTCCCATACGTGACGACGAAAAACTATATACTGTTTTTGAGGCAGATGATAAATTATATCAGTTCCGAAGAGTTCCTTTTGGTGTGACAAACGGAGTTGCGAGTTTTCAGCGGGTAATAGATTACATAATAAAAACAGAGAATCTGAAGGTGTCAATGATGTGTCTACCATGATAAAAATTTAAAAGAATTTTTATTCGTAAGAAAATACAATTTTACCATAAACGAGAAGAAAAGTTCTTACTCCTTAAAATCAATCAAACTTCTTGGATATCTTATCGAGAATAATGCCTTGAAACCTGATCCCGGTTAGACTTGAACCCTCGCTTGAACCTCTACGAAAACTACCTATACCTGAAAACTCCAGTCTGAGCACTCGATCGGCCTACGAATGGAGAACCATACGAAAATATACAAAACTGTATGATTATTCAAAAACTGTACCGCTGGGGCCACAAGCCCGCTGAGCACGTTACAGAGCTTAGAAAACTCAATTTCCACAATAATTGAGCTTTTATAATAGAGAAACTCTTTTCTCAAACACCTCTGAGGTCATTAAATGTTTTAGTTGAGAAAAATATGGAGTTGGTACCGTTGAAGAACTTATGAGAAACTACAACTTGAGAAAATTGTTTGTGTTGGATCTCAAATTGGTGGTAATTTTTTTGAATTAAACACTAACTATTGAAATAGTTCTGAGAAACTGCAACTTTAGAAGATATTTGGATCTTGAATCAGTGCCAAGCTTATAAGGCTCGCAAATTTCTGAGAAAATTTGTATTTGAAAAGATGTTTGGATCCTAAATCAGTACCGAGTCTTTCGGGAATGCCACAGGTCCTAGAAAACTCAATTATCTACAATAATTTAGCTTTTACATAAACAGTAGAGTGCCTGATGATATCTCAAATTTTCAAATTAAGGACTGAAATTAGTGCCGGAGCCCTTCGAGCACTCCACAGGTTCTATAATTCTCAATTTCTGAACTAATTAAGCTTCAAAAACTGTTGAACGTATTTCAAACCCTATGTAAATCAGACTACTTATACCCAACTCTACTTTAAAACTACCGTTTAGCAAAGTCATCAGACCACTACTCAGTGTTACCAATGTGTGAGCATTTGCTCACATTTCTGAGCATTTTATAGATCAGGGGGTAAAAATGGGAGCATTGGCAAGATGCGAGCATTTTGTGGGCATTTTTGGTATTGATTAACCGAAAAAATTAAATTCGTCCCAGCACGAGTCTACGAGAGCCATGTCATAACTCGTGGCATAGCAAAGACCAAGCGCCCAACTTTTTAGAAACGAATTATGTATTTCACCTCACGTGTCAAGATTGTCAAGAGGCCATTTTAGAAACGCTGATTCCATCCAAGGATGATACACACTCACTGCTACTATACAGGATGGTTATTCTCATAAGGCCTGTGTGTATCAAATCCCCCCCACGCCAAAATGCCAGTTGTGACGTAGACAGAATGTTATTTGCATTTCTTGCCTTGACGTAGGCTGTTTAAACAGCTGACGACCCAGTTATGACGTCAAAAATGGTATCACACCAATTTGGCGGCGATTACCAAAAACGAGGCTGATAAGCACTCCTTATGCCCCATTCTCACTTGCGAGAAATTCCCTCTTTTTTTGACATTGCTTCGACAAGTTGACGTTTTATGCGTGTATCAAACGTCAAATTTTCGAAGCAATGTCAAAAAGGGCGCATTTCGCGCAAGTGAGAATTAAGCTTTTGTAGAGTGTGTATTGTGTAGTCTCCTTAGATTGCAACAGCCGATCA